CTGGCGGAGTATCAGGAGTGCCGGCAGCTGCGATGCCCGGAGGACTTCAGAGCGCCGGTATGGCGAGCATCGAGCTCGGCAAGAAGCGGATGCGCGACTCCAATGATGATCTGCTAATGGTACCACGGCTTATGCATGAAGTACACTTTCCTTTTTTTCGTAGCTGGACTCTGGCAAAGTGGCCTCGACATCTATTTTCGCGACTATTTTCGCAAGAACCTTGACATGTGCATATCGTATGTTTTCCAAAATTTTCGTGATATATAAAAGAAAATATTGAACCAACAAGAAATTTACGATACAACAAAATATGTTAACGATACTTTGAATTCATATTGCGTGATACGTGAACGTTAGATATTGGCTATGTTTATCATTTGTCGGCCTTATCTAGTCACGATATTGATAAATTTTCAACATCGTTAATCAGGATGCAAGAAATTAATCCCTGACAGTCATATAATCTCGTGCTAATCTTGTAGAATTTCCAACTGGTGTTTGCTCGTACTTGTTGATACTTGTTGTGTTCGATTCGCGAAACTTTGCAAATGGACAGGTTTAGACGGACATTCTATGTCGTAAATGTAATCGACCTTGCTTCTGCCAGTCTCGTGCTACAAGCTACGTTGTGGAGTTTGTGTCGTGGTAAAGTTTAGGCTACCGCGATGAAACGGTTCCAGGCCATTTTCCAGAGATTCCACGTAGTCGTATCTTTAAGTTATGAGTACAGTTATTGCGATTGTGAATACACTGCCGAGCGCGCTTAGAGCTCTAGCTCCTGTCTTCCATTTTTATTTCTAACAAGAGTCCCGCTGTTTCTCTATCGAACAGAAAGAAAAAACGGAAACGTTTCGATGAAATCTTACAGTCGACGCGTGTAAGCCTAACGATACGAGATGTCGCGTTTCTGCCAACATAATGTGATTGAAGCGTACTAGAATACCAATAACGTCACATGCGGTGCCATAACTGAAACCTCTTGAGCCTTGTATATGGCGTCATTATTGAAACCCCTCTAATGTCAGTATCATCCTGCAGAATATTATCGTAGAAACCTTCACGATATCGTCATATATGGCGCGATCACGATTGAAACCTTTATGCTGCAATCGCGAACGAAAAAAAAATTTGTTTGAAAACAAACCTATAATATTAACAAAACGTCATTTATGACTCCGCGAGTGAAATCCTTTTTAGTTAAAGAGATTTTCCCAAACTTACTTAGTACTGTCGGCACGAAAGGATTTGCAAGATATAAAAGTTCTAACATTCCATTCTACTGTGATGCTTATATTGCGAACGTTTAGTCTCGTATCGTTCTCGGATTGTACGGTCAGAAACAATGAGGTTGCGACACTTTTTTTTGATGAGTTTAAGAATACGCCATCAAGTTCAGGATGCGAATCTTTCTCATGTGCAATGAATGAGACACATTTAACAAATCTCATACGATCATATTGATTCATTGCACATGAGAGGGATTCGTATCCTGAATTTCATCGCGTATTCTTAAGCTCATCGGAAAAAAAGTGTCGCAACCTCATTGCTTCTGACTATACACGATATCGCATCGATTTCTGTCCAAAGACAATCGCGTAAAAAATTCTAGAAACTATCTTTTTTTTCTCTTGGTTTTCGCTTTCTACTGTCGTTCGTTGCAATGTTGTTCGTATCAGAGCTTACGCCTCGTAATGTATTTATAGATCGCTTACTACTTTTTTTTTTTTAAATCGTTAGCCACGTGTTTATATTGTGTCATGGATATTATATATTAAAGAGATTCCTCTCTATAAGGGGGTGCGCAAAATGTATATTTCATTAAAGTTTTATCCATACAGAGGGACATTAAACGTGGCTAGCGAGTATATGATTTAACATACATTTATACCCCTTGGCGATTCCCCGACCAATGAAATTAGCGGATCCACGATCGCGTGAAAAGAGTACACTTTTCATTACGATTGTTATCCGCTCGTTGGTCGCGCTTACATTTCGAGACACGCACGCACTGTTGAAACACTTAAGGGAAATTTCAATTAGATTGCAAACGATATGTACTTCAAAATATATCTATCTTTAATCCTTTAATGTTTGACAAAATACGATCGCGATGTGCGTTATCTTTCTATTTTCTCATTATATTTTATGCGAGTGTGTGAATAGTGGCTTTCTTATTATATTAGTATACTCTTCGTATCGTGGATAATTGATTACTTGTTTTAACAAAATATTTATCCGAGAGAATAAATTTAACCGCCAGAATTATGTTGATAATTGAAAAAAATGAAGTTGTGATTTGCAATGAAAAAAATTAATTGCTTAGCAATTAAAAAGTCTTGAAAGGAGTAAAGAACTGGAGATCTCTCAACGTTAAAGGATTAATAAAATGAAAAAGAACTCTTGTGAATGTAAAGGAATATCGCGAATATCGATGAGGAAGTGCGCGCGTGTTTTGATGCGAGCTCGGTAAGGAAACCGTCGACTCTAATCTCCGTATGTCAGGACCCCCTCACGAAACGAAACGGAAAAGAGAGTAAAGAGGGCGAGTCGTGAGGCCCTAAAGGCTCGCACTTTCGCGGTATGCTACGAATCCTGCATACCGCGGTGCTGCGTCTACGGAGCATTAGATCTGTGTAAATTCTGAGCTTGCGCCGATGATGCATGTTGTGCTTAAGCGACTATCGAGGTGATGGTGGACGTAACGTCATCCCCTCGACGCTCTGGACGATGACCGAAGTTTTGGCAGTTCTTGTCGCGGAGGATCGTCGAGCGGGCCCTCATTGCTGTGACGCGTTTCGAAATTTGCCGTCCGCGTGACGGCTTTTCTTGTCTTCGTTAGAGTCACGTCGAGTCTGCTAAAGAGCACTGTAGATCGCTTACATACACTCGCTATTTTTTTAATACTATCCTTTCTTTTACTTCTATCTATATATATATATATATCACGTACATATCTCGCTCTTTCTCTCTATCTCTCCGTCGCTAATACTGTCAATCAGCATCTGAAGCGCGATCGACAGTTTTGTTCGGGTTTGAAACGTAATTTTATCCATGTGCAACTTTCTAACTCCGTGCGCCAGAACGAAAATGGATTTTCGCTGTACAAATAGAGGCTTCCTTCAGAAAGCGCGCATAACTTCTCGGTATTTTCGGTACGCGAGTTTTCAATACGTGAAGAGAAAGAAGAAATGCCTGCATAGAATCCATATAAATTCATAAGAATGCAAAACTCTTGTTGCAGAAATGTATCAATATTTCAAAACAAAAATTTTGAAACGTGATAACACTGAGACAGCCAAATGCGAATGCATTTTCGCTGTACGCATACAAGATGTATTATAAGATATGGGAATTACATCTTCTTTGATGAATTTGAAGCCGAAAGTTTTCTGTAGTACAAAAAGATAACGAAATATTTTTTCTAGTAAACTTTAAATGAATATTCTTATGTATAACTTAAATTATATATATGTTATAATTGGTTGTTAGAAATACTCAATTATTACAAATTATATTAAATTTTGATTAGCGCTTAATCGGCTCTAAATTTATTTTAAAAAAATAATGCTATATTTTCCTTTGTAAAGCGTATTAATTTTAAAGCGCATTAATAAAGCACTTTTGTTTTACAGTATTTTTAATACGGAGAAACAAAAAATTCGGTGAAAAATTTTGTTACTACGCTATATATTTTCGGCAGGCTTAGTAGGCAGCAACGATACGAATGATAAAGAGACGAAAGGCACGTTGCCTCTTGCGTGATAGCTGATTGCACATTTTTAAGCAAACAAAACGCAGTGTGACGCTGATTCGCTTTCGCGCACACGCTTACTGGCGACGTTCGCAATTACGTTTATTTGTTGCGTTAATCGTGAACGCATACGGCGGTCAAAGGCGAGTTCGGAGTTATTCACACGCAAAGTTGCGGTTTTTGAAATTCGCGTTTTTATATCCGTGCGTCGTTACGACTCCGAGGGTTTCGTTGGTGAGCAAACCGCGGGAACACGTGTTAACACGCATATACATATATGTATGTATCTGTGCCGCTGTGACAATATGTTTCACCCCGGCCACTTTACTATAAGTCAGCTTCTGAGCTTTTGCATCTCGTCTACCGCAGCTTCTAACTCGAACGTGTTTTACACCTCGATAGAGATTTTGATTTGGCTTTCCCCTCTTTGTTGCGCACGCGTCTGTTTCGCGCAGGTGACTTACCAAAGTGCTCGCTCACCAAGTATCACCGCAAGCCTATCAGCTTTCGTGAATCCGTGTTGTGCAACTTTCGCATCACGTCGGTATCGCGAAGCCTTTTGTTCTCCGAGCCAAGCCCAACTGCGCCTTTTATATTAATATCTCTCTTGTCGATCTTGCTCTTTCTTTTTCTCTTTTTCTCTATCTTTCTCTTTATATCTTTCTCTTCAGTCTCTCCGTTTTGCTCGCAAAGGAGGAAAGATTCATTTGTCTTCACATTTATCTCGCGAAAATGAACGAAAAGCTTTAAGATCGGACATTAGCATCGACAATTTTGTTACAGCGCGATTCCTGCTTCTTCGCTCTCGCAATATTCTTAATAGGAAGGCGACAGTGCAGTTTTCCGATCGGTATTTTGATCGTTTATTAATATAAGGCGACGGTCTCTCTTTAATCGAGCCGCGCACGGTCCTCGATACTAACAATGGCTGGTTTTTCTGACACGCTCCCAGTAGTAGAAACAGAGGAAAAGTGCAAAAGAAAGAAAGAAAGAAAGAACGAACGAAACATTTTGCAGTTATCCAACAACGAAACGTCGTCGTTTGGGAACGTCGCCGCAAGCTGCGTCATCGGCACAACTTTTACACACTACCACAGTCCAATACCCTTCTCCACCGCGCCACCGTCTACCTTCCCCCGTTTCTTTGAAACACGACCCTCTCTCGTTTCCCGTCTCGAAAATCCAATTATACAGACGCAACGCGCCTCGTCCTCGAAATTAGTTGAAACCGATCCTGTCTTTGTTGCAGATGGACATGAAGTCTGTCGGGTCGTTCTACTACGAGAACTTTGTAAGTGCAGAACCTAAACATTGAATCATAATTCATATGATCCATATTCTTCGTGCGTATTCATTCCATTTATACTCGCGATTAATATTTATCTCCCTATCTAGGAGATATTCATTTCTTACAGCAAGATATAAAAATTCTACTGACAAAATTCTTTTTGAATTATCATTAAATTTTGCAAGCATTTTAAAACGGAGCATTATCGATTTAACGAGATAGTAGCGATCGTTTCTTTCTAAAATAGTGATGATATCGCTGAGAGGTAGATATGATTCCTTCCGCTGGTTGCGGTACATGCGACTAATTGCTGTTTTGTAAAGAAGACAAAAGAATCATTGTAACAATACATTGATATCAATTCATCTTAAAATACCAATTTATTACAAATTACGGCTGAATTTGATTGTGTTGGACGAAAGAGGTTGGCCTTTTGACCGCCTCGTGGAAAATGTCAAACCCGACGTCCCCTGCACAGCTGGATCAAGAAAAACTCATGAGCACGCAAAAGAGAACAATATATCGTATCCCCGGCCGAAACGGAGTCGAGGCTTTCATGGAGGAAGCTTCCGCTCGAGTGTGGCCACGTTGCTCGCGTCACAAACTTATTCTAATCACGAATCTCTTTGCAATTCTTTTTGCAGGCCTTCCCAGGGATGGTTCCGTATAAACGACCGGCGGCCGACAAGTCCGGCGTGCCGGTCTATCAGCCTACCGGTGCGACGACCTATCAACAGTTAATGCAGCTGCAGCAGCCCTTCGTGCCTGTGTCATGTGAGTACACTGGAACACCACCCCTACCCACTCAAACCTCTAACCAATCGGTCGTGCAACCCCCGAACGTGCAAAGCAACCACCACGCGATAGTGGTGCAATCCTCCTCCTCCCAGGGAGCCGCTGGCGCAACAGTCAATAACTGCGCCGACGCCAACAATGGCGTGCTGATGGATCCCAACAATCCGCCGCCGCCACCTCCGACCGCTGACAATAACAGTAACAATAGTAACGGCAATAACAAGCAACCGGTTACCACGCAGAATCATGATGAAAATTCGCGTAACTCCCCCGAATTGAATCATTCGAGCCCGTCGTCCCTGCAGCAGCAGCAGCAGCAGCAACAACATCAGCAACAACAGCAGCAGATACCGCAACATCAACAGCAACAGCAGCAAATTAACCAGTTGGCGCTGTCACCAGCGATGAGTCCATTGACTTCTATGGCCAACCTGACCTCAATGCCTGGTATGGTGAACATGGCCTCGATGGCTTCTATGGCCTCCATGGCAAATATGTCATCGATAACGAACATCACCTCTATGGGCAATTATAACGCTGCTTCCAACATGGCGAGCCTAAATATGCTCAACAGCCTCGGAATGGCCTCTGGATTACCAGCCCCTCTCGATCCAGCGACTCTCGCCAAAGAAGTTGCTCAGAAAAACTATGCTAAAGCCATTAAGCTCTCGCAGTCTTACGGCATTGGTCAGCTCGCACTTAATTACACCGGTGTCGCTCTGAATAAGCAAAACCTCGTGAATCCCGCCGCGGCGGCCGCCGGGAATCCCGCGGTGGCAGCAGCCAGTCTGCAAGCCACCGCGGCGACTCCCAGATCTGTCATCCCGAGTCTGGCCGGTATCCCGGGCGCTTTGACCTCACCGCTATCCGCGGGTATCTTGGCGTACTCCAGACCGCCACCCACAGCGACCCCCATAAATCCATATTCTCTGATCAGGCAGCAGATCTTGCCGAATCCATATGTCCAGGCGTCGATACCTGTACCCGGCGCTGCGACCGTACAAACCAATCCCTATGTCCAGAATCCATATGCTGTTCTACCTGCAGTAGCCAGTGTACCTGGAGTAGCGGCAGGCGTCGCGGCCGCGGCTGCGGCCGCGGGTGTACCACAGATACAGCAGATAGGCAACCCGGCGACAATAGCGGCGCAGCCGCAGGTAGCGATCCCCGTCAGTTCTGGGGTGATCATGCAACCGTACAAGAAGATGAAGACATCGTAAAGACATCCTTGCCTACCGGCTCGGGAAGACTCGTCTTTTCTCACGAAAGTGCCGTTCCTTCCTTCGGGCACCTTCCATTCTCTCCCTCGCGGCGAACGAACGAACGATTCCGCGATAGTCGCTGCGGATGATCGGGATGGTAATTGCTGCTACCGATCACGGTAGTGATATTTTAGATAATTCTAGAGTACCTTTACGATTAGTGTTCAATTGCGAGGATGAATAATGAATGATAAAAATTATTATGTTCTGAATAAACTTTCGCAATTGTATTTTTGTAGTTTTGTAGTTTCAGTCCGAAATGAAAACACGTTTAGAAATAGTAGCGTTCGTGGAAATAAAAAAAATAAAATTGAGCTAAATGGATATTTGATACATTAGTTTACAATAATTACAATAATGCCCAGTGGGAATTAGTTCTAGAATGTTATACTTTTCGGCATAAATTACATAGTGAAGATTAGTGAACTTCTTGTCATATATATGTTGTTATTTGATTTTTCTATATTTTGCTGATAAAAGTGTATTAAAGAGAAAAGAGAAAGAGAGAGAGAGTATAATATATATATTATATATATACACATTCTTTTTATTATATACAAAATATAATACGAATTGCAATTTATTAGCTTTAATTTTATTCGATATTAAAAAATTACGCGTATTTAAATCTTCGACTACATCGATAAAACGAAAAATGTAGAAAAACAAAAGTGCAGTCCTAAGATATTAATCTTCATCGCCGGTGCTAAAAAAAAGCGAGAATCGGTCTTCGTTCACGAGAGGGATGGAATATTCAGTTAAGCGATTACGAGACGAGAGATGCTGATATACAAAAACAAGTTCCGAAAATAGATTCATTTTCTAGTCAGACATTGTCGGTGAACAGTGCCTTATTGACCCGATTCCATTTGGAGCGTTATAAGCGTACAATTGCAGAGAAGAGAACGGTGGAGGAGAGAAATACGGGATTTTTCCCCGTCATATTACCTACCTACTTGCATGACTGAGAGAGACGTGACTACCGTTCCGATCTTATTTCTGTCGAAATAGACCTGAATTTAATTTCGACTGGATATTTTAACTCCAAATTTTGACTTGCCGATAAAGATTGCATTCAAGAGAAGACGAGAGAGCTTACGAAAAATTATGCGTGGCCGAAAAGTCACGAATTATATTAATCACCTATTTTATTATTTGATCTTTTTTTAGAGTAATAGCGATTTGCGATATACTTTATAGAGATAGTTTTTAATTATGCCGATAATTAGCGTTGTTTTACTGCAGAGAACTATTGAAAATGTTATGTGTCGTTACGTGGCTCCGTTTTATTCTTTTAATAGGCTAAATTGTAAATAAGTCAATTTCCGCCGTAAAAAAAAAACGGCGTCGCAATATTTTTATTTCGAAACAAATTTTTGTGTTATAGCTTCGTCCAAATTTTAACGTCTAACGTCCGGAACAAAGAAAAAAAAACGACGCTCGGCCTATGTCACGTTATATGCGATACTTGCCGTTAAGTCCGTAATGTTAATTAGCATTCGCGTTTAGAGTTATTGAAATAATTATTATCCAAAGTTGGATTATTTTACTAGAGCACGATTCGCTTATTTATATATTATAGTAATATGTTCAAAATTTTATTTTGTTTGTTCATTTCGGAAGAAAATTAAATAATGTTAAATGAAAAGAATTCGCACAAGTAATATTGGTTTTAACATTTTAGCATCATGTGCATTCAAAAAACTATTTTTTTTTTTTCGTTATCACATGATATATTTTGAATTATACGAGGCTCATGCGTGATATTTGTTAATATTTAATGAAAATTGTTTTAAAATTTTTATCGACTTAACCTATCTTTTTTTTAGTTTAGCTATAAGAATACATATTATGTCTATATATAACGACGTATATATTTCCTAAAAACACCTTGCACATCGACGATAAATTCGACTGGAAGATGCGACGCTTCCGGTAGGCCCTTAGTTGTCATGTAATATGCATAGAATTTAGAATAGTTATTTGTTTTATACTTAGCGTATCTTTAGCATAAGCGTGCTCGAACACAATGTACTCTTCTGTCCTGATGGATTCAATTCGGGGGAGTTTGTTGCACACAGTGAACTTCGTCAATTGCGACCTACGAGCTTATGCATTTAGCCGAATGAGGGAAGTACAGAAAATAATGAAGAAAGAGAAAGAGAAACAGCGAATCCGCGAGATATGCGGATGTATTTACGTGAAATTGAAGAGAGACAGAGGAGGGAGAGTAAGAAAATGATCGGTCCAACCTTGAAGGCGGTGAGACGGGAAGAGAAACGTCTCGTCGATTGCCACTCTCGAGGGTGGAAAGAAAATGGGTTCACATGCGCATCGTGGTACACGACCGCACAAACATTACACTTAAGACACTTACACGACTTACATGATAGACACTGCGTATATTTTTATTAATTCGCGCGTATAACGGCTAGAGAGGAAAGCGGTTATGCGGTACTAGCTGAGAGAGCGGAATTTGTACGTGAAAAAATACAAGGAAATGTATTCACGCTAGCATCTACTTTCTTCTCTTCCGCATTCACGCGTCTGCCAGTGATTTGAAAGTTTGTTTAAATCCAAATGTATAGTTATAAGTTACAATAAACATATATACATATGCATATATGCATTTGTAAATAATTTTTTTTATATACAGGACGAAAATGAAAGATATTTGTTGTATGTGTTAAAGTTATATGCATATATATATATATATACATATACGTATACGTATGTTTGTGTACATAATGATATATTTAATATATAATATATGATATCTTATATACTATGATATATATATATATATTAAATATAATTATGTATATACACATACATATATGTACGGAGAGCACACTCACTGGCATGTTCAATGGAGAAGAAACGAAACGGCCGGTCGTATCATAATTTTCACGAAAAAAACGGAGCGAACGAATTGTGCGGCGGTAGGAATTGTGTACACGAAAACGTGAAAGAACAGAGTAAGGTGAGGTATTTCCCAGAATCCCGGCACGTATGCAAGTGAAATACTTTTAACGCTTCGTGCGCGAAAAGTTCGCTATATACGTATCTTAAATCTCTCTCGTAAAAGTTTAGTTTTAATCCTGGTCCTGGTCGTGACATAGCAAATTGTAATTGCTAAGAAATTTTATTCGGATTAAAAATGTCGTATGTCTCCTCTTGGCTTAAAAAAAGCTCAAAAGGATGTGAATGGAGAATAAGGTACATTACCTCACAATTCCTTTGATTCTTTCGCGGTATTAGAAACAACTTCTTCCAAGGGATCATGAAATATCATCTATGCAGAAAACGCACAAGATTGTAGAATGAGATTGTCTTATAATGGTTTTAGAATAGATTTTTAATTAATAATAACGAATTGTAAAACAATTTAAACCGTACATTTATACGGATTGCACACAATTAAAGAGCAACACACAAAACACTCTTATAGATTTCAGAGAAGGATATCTCTCGTTCGCCTACTGATTTAATGTTATTGCCTATCTTATAATTTTTTTTTACTTTATATATAATTGTATAAATGAACACAGCATATTTTAACGATTTGAATAATATTTTACAAATATCTCTTCCATGATGTAAACTGTAGTTGTTCTTCTTTTAAAATGGCGAATCTACATATTTTTTAAACTCTCGTAAGTTATACATTTATAATCGACGAAGTATTCTATAACTAACATTTATAATGTTATATTTTATTTGCCTTGAGGATAATAGATTTTTACTAAGATTTGCAAGTAGGTAATGATTCTCGCTTTAGAATCAGAATTGAGAATTCTCAAGAGTATCATGGAGTCTTCCATAACGGACGCCACGAGAACGCTCTTCGAGCGCCGTTTTATATTAGTGACTAAGAGGATTTATTGAGATACCTGTCCCAGAGGGAAGAAATTGTTTCTATCTTTATGATAAACAACAACGCGCGTGTGGCGGTCCTATGTGATAATATGTAATGTATTACACTCATACATACGTACACACATACACGCACACACTGTTCTCGCATGCGCGTGGCACTGGAGTATAGTAAGATTAGCTCTTTCATTGCCTTGTATGGCGTTAACCTGGAATTCACGATCAGTACTTATGATACTATGATATCATATACGTGACGTCATCGGTGTTAAAGGGCCTCGAGAAGATGACGATATATAATACGTTAATCCATAAGCAAAGTCCTAACGGCCTTGGACAAGCCGAGGATTCGGCGATAACGCGCGATAAAGTTCCGTATTCCGTAACGACAACTCCATAAGGTACAAGGATAGTGAGAGAGTCGATAGGATCGAGCCTGAAATACTGATTATGGACCGACACTTTTAGGGTTCCTGAACTTGATGTCTACAAATTATATACGTACATTATCGAGAGGGTGGCTGGTTTTTTTAAATTCACACCGAAAACCCGGAATCGCGTTCTGGGCTCGACGCGATCGGTCCAAATGATCGATCGGTCGTCGCCGTTGTTGCATCAAATGTAGCAAAACGTTTCCTTAGAACTGTGATTGTTTTATCGCAAAGCTACTACGTACTTCCATAAGAGGAATGTTCATTATATTTTACTAGACGAGAGTGTATTCTTTTAAAGGATATGTATTAATGTAGGATGTCTTATACGCGGATGATGAAGAGATAGAAGACGCAATCCCGTGTTCTCGGTGTGACATCGGCAAAACAGCGGAAGTGCCTTCCCCTTGCACTCTATACACCATTGCACACAGAGAAACACGTATACAACAAATGCCTACATTATTTAGACACGCGACGCAGGAACGAAGCATTACGATATATAAAGAAGAAAAAAGTGAAACTTACACAATATATAATTATATTTATATACCCTTATTAAGATAAATCATATATATATATATATATATATACACACAAACTCGTACATATTGTCGTTGTTGCATATATAAAGTTAACGCAATGCAACGAAAAGGAGGAAATAAGGACATATTCCACAAGGTAACTAATTACACATACAAAAAACTATTTTGTGGACTATGTATCTGTATATATACATAACCACATGTATACACATACACACATG